TCTTGGCCCTCCCACCCAGTCAAATCTCTTCTCTGTCCTAGCACCCCAATGGTGGAACAAGCTTCCCCCTAAAGTCAGGACAGCAGAGTCCCTGCCCATGCAGAGTGAGGGAAAATGCAGAGTGAGGTGTCTCATTTGTCTGGAAGTAGCTAGCAAGCTAGCCAACAACGTTATCCAGTTAGCTTGGAGTAAGCATTTCACTGTAATGTCTGCACCTGTTGTATTCGGCGCATGTGGCCAATATTTTTTTTGATTTGATTTGATTTGACTACCATTGTGAGGTCAGACCATTTGGATCAACCCTACTCCTCGGTCAGAGCGAAACGCTCTGAAATTCTGAACAGACAATCTGACAACGCTCTGAATTTACTAACGCCAAGAACGCACTCTGAGCACACTCCAGAGTGAATTTACGAACGCACCCATTGACTACGCGCTCTGCAATGGCATAGCATAGGCCTAGTACCCTCTTAAACCCCTTTAGCTCATAGTGAAAAACCACAACACACATGGTCTAGTAGTGTAGTGTACCCTCTTAAGAATGAAGGGAGTATGAAACCTTGAAGATTTAAAATAGTTAGTTTATCTGGTGCATCTCTCTTCAATATAGTTCCAATTGTCTCTCTCTCATTCAACTGACTTGGCTACACTTATACAATTCTAAATACCCAACATTCTAAAAAAAACAATTTGTAAAAAGGTATTAATGATCATCTTATCTCATACATACATTTTCATCATGTAATTCTCAACATATCGCTAAACACAGCAAGTTACAATGTTTGTTTATGCTCTTTGTGAACGTTCGTTGGTCCCGTCGCCATGACTACGACAGGCTAGCTTGACTGGAGCTAACTTTAGCCCACGTTAGCTTCTGTGCTAACGGCCATTTATAAACTAATTAAACTATCAAAACATCATTAAAAAAGTACAAAAATTATATCATAACACTCCGCTTAACTTGCTGTTTCATATCCTATGCTTTATAACCGCTCACCATGATGATTATGTTTAAAATATTTAGTTTATGTGGTGCTTCTCTCTTCAGTTTTCAGTTGGCTTGGCTCCAGGGGCGGTGTGTTCATTAGGGCGATATGGGTGACGCACTGCCAAACGGGAAAAGGAAGGGATTTTTTTTCTAATCAATTATATCACGGCAACAGTAGTAATCAGTGTTCTAATCTAGACGTCTGATCTGCCACTAAATGTCCAATCAGGCTAAAGTCCTGCTTCAAATGGCCCCGCCCCTTTTGGGGCGATTTCAGTCAGGTTGAAAATCGTCCCAGAAGTCTCTCATAGACTCTCATGTAAAATCTTTTTTTTTCAAATATCAGAGCTTTCAATACAATCTCTATGGGTTCCGGGAGGGCTTGCACTTACGCGCTTTTGTCATACGTAACATAACCATGAACGTAACTAAGAAAAGAGCGGGTAGCAGCGTCAATCAATTCACGTACTACTGTCAAGATGGCTAGCGTTCAGTGCAACTCGATTGTCTCTTTGAAAGAAGTTCCTTTTTGTCGGCGAACAAATCAAGATAAATTGGCAACGAAACAATTAGGACCTCCCAGACCAAATTTAATAATTCAACAGGTTTCTACTAAAGGGGGAAAGTCCTACACCCGAGGATTTTCCAAAAATTGGTACGAACGAAAAACCTGGCTAGCAGGCTGCGATGTAGCTAATGCAGTCTTCTGCTACCCCTGCTTACTCTTTCACCCTGAAGGCGGCACGGCAGACAGCACCGCTTGGACAGCGACTGGTGTAACGGACATGCACCATCTTTCAGAAAAGATTAAGAAACATGAGCTGTCAAAGACCCACATGGATAGCTGTTTGAGATTGTCTGCTTTGGGGAGAGTGAACATTGCCACTCAACTGGATGAGGGATACAGGCTAGCTGTCCGCCGCCACAACGATGAGGTTAGCAAGAACCGCCACAACCTCAGCCGGCTAATCCAGTGTGTGAAGTTTTGCGGAGTGTTTGAGTTAGCTTTGCGAGGCAAAGATGAAACTGAGGGCTCCACCAACCCTGGTATTTTTCTTGGACTTGTCAACTTTGTGGCACAATTAGATGAGGTGTTTTATGGAAATGCATATTGTTTATGCAGTGTTGAGGAATGTGAAAGAACACCCTTGATTATTTTTACTGTGATAACTTATTTTGCTTTTGTAAGCCAACACTTTTGAGATCAGTCAATAAATGCTTCTGGTATTGACTTATATGCTGCCCCTGTCTTCATGTTGTTGCTGGACATATCTTTTTTAAAATGTGTGTAGGTCACCTAAATCATCAAAAAAATTGCCCCCCCCTGAGAATTTTTTCAGGAGCCGCCACTGCTTGGCTCTCTCTTTCAACTAAATCAATGACAGGCAGGGTTGCGCGCGAGCCACTGTAGAGCGAGAGGACAGGATCTTTGGTGAGAGTGCGTGAAGCAACCACTAGAGCGAGCAGCTCCCTCTGCGGGCCGAAACAAGCACAACACCCCTTGACTATAAATACTGTAAATGATTACTAAATGCCAAAGATTAGGCTACAGTATCTCACATTCTCCCACGTTTCAGGTTGGCAGCACTGGGAACTTAAACATAAGCAAAAAACGGTACTATTAATACAGAAAGTATTATCCCTTTTTCATAGCAATTATTTCCAATTTTCTTTGATGTTACAGACAAATCAGGACCAACAATAGCAGCCTGCCTCTGACTTGATCAGAAACTTGCCCATACTGGTATATAAATTCATCAATATAATACCAATCAACCTCTTCTGACCTTGGGGGGTTTCTTTATTTAATGCATTATACTGCCATTGTACTATGGTAACGCACAATTAATAAAGATGGTACCATATTATCATTTTTGGTACCATTTATCATAATTGTGCATTACCATGGTAGAATGTATAATGCAGGTTAAACCATGGTATTTCCATTATCCACATCTATACCATGGTACAAATTTAGCAATACCATGGTATTATTTAGGTGCATGGCAGTACCATTGTCTCGGAAATCCATGGTAGTACCATGGTACATTTTTGTAAGGGTATGCCACACCTGTCAGGTGGATGGATTATCTTGGCAAAGGGGAAATACTCACTAACAGGGATATAAACAAATTTGTGCACAAAATTTGAGAGAATTCAGCTTTATGTACGTATGGAACATTTCTGGGATGTTTTATTTCAGCTCATGAAACATAGGACAAACACTTTACATGTTGCATTTATATTTTTGTTCAGTGTAGTTTTATCTTGTTCTTGATACCATGTCTTGTTTTGAGGTGTTTTGATGGATGTCATGTCTATGCTAAAATGGCTCAAATGTGCTAGCTAGCTAACCAACATCTGTCACGATGTATTTGAGAGAGAACAAGTGCTCATTGTGCACATTATTTATGTTTGCAATAAATATTGGTGACTAAATATAATTTAGCCCTACATGTTGTCAATAATCTACCCTTATTGAACGGATAAAAATGTATTTGATTTTTAGAAAATACATATTCTGCCGTTTCCATCACACATTTACGGTCATATGAGCTGTTGAGCAAAGCTTTAGCTGTTGTGAAGAAAGTTCTGGAGGAAGTGAGTTTGTGTTTATACAGGACCTCCAGCCCCGTCCTACCAGTCATGTCAATGCGGAGCTATACGGAGCCCTCCGCATTGTTACATAATTTGGGAGGCGCACAGAGATGTGGTACAGAGCTCAATTTGGCCTCTGCATGCCTCTGGAGGCTCAACAATTGCGCCACACTCTCCATACGGAGCCTCCGACCACATTTCCAATCAAGCATAAATTGGTTTTAAACCTGGTTCAATGGGAACCTGCCTACTGTCAAGCCAATGCATTGCACCAGAGAGGAAGACGCAAAGCGAGAGGTTTCACTCTCGCCAAAATCTGTCCAATGTAAACCCAATGCGGTTTCTATGGGTTTATTTTTTACCTAAGCTTGTCGCATGCCTTTCCGCCTTTGGAAAAACGACTCCCATTGTTAGGGCGGAGACATGAGTATCTCATTATTATATACCGAGCTCTGATTGCACTCCCTCTTAGTTTGTGATCATAGCTTCCAACACAACATCCTCAATTAATCTACCCTAATCGACAATAAACACTAATTGTAGTATTTCGCATAAATCCGTGTTATTATTTTGAGGGAAATGGGGCAGGGGCTAAACAAAGGAGGTCTTTGTGGCCGTTTGGTTGGCCTAGGTTACGGCACGGATGTCCAATTGCCCGTCAGTGGTGCAATCGCCCCGTAAACACGGACCAATCACAGCGCGGCGCGCGGCGCACGACCAGGGAGGGCGAGGCTTGATTCTCTCTCCGAGACTGGGCGTCCACCAACGAAGCGGGATTGGAGTGTGTGATCGAATTGTTCAGGACTGGAAGACCCAGACGAATAGAGAAATACCTGTTCATGGAAATCAAACGGTAATCTCTTATTGTTTGAGAGCCGGACGATATGTACGATAACGGTTGACTCTGTCTGCAAACTGGAGAAATGTCTACCACCACCACAATACCTGCCAGGGGTAAAGGATTGGACAGGTGTGTTACCTGTGGAGCGCGTGGAGGGGCTAGCAGATGTGCAGCCTCGAGTTTGGACTGATCGGTCACAACACCTCTTTTCCTGTGTGTTAACCCCACATGGATGCTATACCTGGTTGGAACACAAAGCACATGGTGAGCATGCCTGCCTCTCCGAGCCAACACCTTGCCTGTGTCCTCACCGCAGCTTTCCCCTGAGCCACAGGCTCCACTTGAAACTGTTATTCGGTCGGCCCATTCTAACTGGAGCACCATGGTGAGATGACCAACCGCTCGGTAATCTACCAGAGGACCCCATTCTGTGCGTCTTTGTTGGACACATAGAATTTGCCTGCCTGCGCTCTGGGTTTCCTTTGGAACAAAGGGTTTACGCAGAGCCGAGTGGACAGGGCATCAGAGCGGCCGGAATTTGGCTGCGGGGTTTGGCAGCTCTTTGTTGCATAAATGGCAGCGGGACCAGAGCGGCCGGTGGCGGAGGCGCAGCGGCAGGACCGGGACCAACCGCCACGGGAGAACGGCTGCATGCCGCTGGAGCAGACACAGGCCCCCAGGCTCCTGCCGCACGTCGACGGCTCAGTACTACCGTCTCTCGGGGGATTTGGCAAACACCAAAAACAGCTCGTTGTTCTGACGTGGATACCAGCTTTATTTATCGGATTTAGCCAGTTTTCAAATTATTTCCTTTTGGCGCAACCAAAAGGCACGTGCGTGGAGCCTCTTGTTAAGGGAAGTAATTGGACTGTTGGTTCTTTAAATTTACCGGTGACCGCCACGAACGGTGGCATTGGCACGCCCGTGCCTTACCTACTCCGAGGCAATGGCACTCGAGACGGTGTCGGTGACAGCGGCGGCATGGAGTGCGCGTGCAAGGAGTGGAAGCTCGAGCTGCAGACGGGACTCAGTCAGAACGTGGTTACCAAGGTAACGTGTGCTCCAGATACCATACCTTCCCTCTGATGATTTCTGCGTCTGAAAATACATAATAAGCCTAATCATCAGCATCACCAACACTGCATCTTATGCAACTATGGGGCGGGCACAAGCTAATTGTCAAAGAAATGTAGCCTACCCAGCACCACGGACAGCGCATGCACTTTGTCCATTGTTCCATTCTGTGCCATAGGCCTACTGTAAGAGAGATCACAGTTTGCCCTCAGAGCACACAGTAACTCATCAAACAACTTTAATTTCTCTGCTGACCCGAATTGGCATGATCAAAAACACACTACACTCAGGAGTATAACTATCCATACAAGCTAATTTAATTAATCCTACCATGGGCACTCTGTGATGCTGATGAGAGCAGGGGATGTGATTATTCTACAATCCACCATAGAAGAAGAGTGGGTGTAGCTGTTAAGTCTATTGTTGCCCCAACACATTTGTATTTGTATTTATTATGGATTCCCATTAGCTGCTGCCAAGGGGTCCAGCAAAATTAAGGCAGTTATACATTTTAAAACATTTCAATACATTCATAACAGATTTCACAACATATTAAGTGTGTGCCCTCAGGCCTCTACTCTACTACCACTTATCTATAACACAAAATCCATGTGTACATGTGTGTATAGTGCGTATGTTATCGTGTGTTTGTATGCATGTGTCTATGTTTGTGTTACTTCACAGTCCCCGCTGTTCCATAAGGTGTATTTTGATCTGTTTTTTAAATCTAATTTTACTGCTGGCATGAGTTACTTGATGTGGACTAGAGTTCCATGTAGTCATGGCTCTATGTAGTACTGTGCGCCTCCCATAGTCTGTTCTTGACTTGGGGACAGTGAAGAGACCTCTGATGGCATGTCTTGTGGAGTATGCATGGGTGTCCGAGCTCTGTGCCAGTAGTTCAAACAGACAGACATTGCTTGGTGCATTCAACATGTCAATACCTCTCACAAATACAAGTAGTGATGAAGTCAATCTCTCCCCACTTTGAGCCAGGAGAGATTGCCATTCATATTATTAATGTTAGCTCTCTGTGTACATCCAAGGTCCAGCCGTGCTGCCCTGTTCTGAGCCAATTGAAATTTTCTGAGCCAATTGAAGTACCTCTTTGTGGCAACTGACCACACGACTGAACAGTAGTCCATGTGTGACAAAACCAGAGCCTGTAGGACCTGCCTTGTTGATAGTGCTGTTAAGAATGCAGAGTAGCGCTTTATTATAGACAGACTTCTCCCCATCCTAGCTACTGTTGTATCAATATGTTTTGACCATGACAGTTTACAATCCAGGGTTACTCCAATTTAGTCTCCTCAACTTGCTCAATTTCCACATTATTAATTACAAGATTTAGTTGAGGTTTAGGGTTTAGTAAATGATTTGTCCCAAATACAATGCTTTTAGTTTTTGAATTATTTAGGACAAACGTATTCCTTGCCACCCATTCTGAAACTAACTGCAGCTCTTTGTTAAGTGTTGCTGTCATTTCAGTCGCTGTGGTATCTGACGTGTATAGTGTTGAGTCATCCACATAGATAGACACACTGGCTTTACTCAAAGCCAGTGGCATGTCATTAGTAAAGATTTAATAAAGTAAGGGGCCTAGACAGCTGCCCTGGGGAATTCGTGATTCTACCTGGATTATGTTGGAGAGGCTTCTATTAAAGAACACCCTCTGTGAGTGTATGAAAAAAAAAAATTATGCACTAACTGTAAGTCGCTCTGGATAAATGACTAAAAATGTAAATGTAAAATGTGTTCTGTTAGACAGGTAACTCTTTATCCACAATATAGCAGGGGGTGTAAAGCCATAACATATACGTTTTTCCAGCAACAGGCTATGATCGATAATGTCAAAAGCCGCACTGAAGTCTAACAAAACAGCCCCCACAAACTTTTTATCATCAATTTCTCTCAGCCAATCATCAGTCATTTGTGTCAGTGCTGTGCTTGTTGAATGTCATTCCCTATAAGCATGCTAAAAGTCTGTTGTCAATTTGTTTATGGTAAAGTAGCATTTTATCTGGTCAAAAACAATTTTTCCCAAAAGTTTACTTTTTGAGCCAGTTAAGGGGGCTTTACTATTCTTAGGTAGGGGAATACATTTTGCTTCCCTCCAGGCCTGAGGGCACACACTTTCTAGTATGCTTAAATTGAAGATATGGCAAATAGTAGTGGCAATATCGTCCGCTATTATCCTCGGTAATTCTCCATCCAAGTTGTCAGACCCCGGTGGCTTGTCATTGTTGATCGACAATAATACTTTTTTCACCTCTTCCACACTTACTTTACGGAATTCAAAATTACAATGTTTGTCTTTCATAATTTGGTCAGATATACTTCGATGTGTAGTGTCAGCGTTTGTTGCTGGCATGGCATGCCTAAATTTGCTAATCTTGCCAATGGAAAAATCATTAAAGTAGTTGGCAATATCAGTGGGTTTTGTGATGAATGATTAATCTGATTCAATGAATGATGGAGCGGAGTTTGCCTTTTTGCCCAAAATTTCATTTAATGTGCTCCAAAGCTTTTTACTATCATTCTTTATGTAATTTATCTTTGTTTCATAGTGTAGTTTCTTCTTCTTTTTATTGAGTTTAGTCACATGATTTCTCAATTTGGGTACATTTGCCAATCGGTTGTACAGCCAGACCTATTTGCCATCTCTTTTGCCTCATCCCTCTCAACCATACCATTTTTCAGTTCCTCATCAATCCACGGGGATTTATCAATTTTTACAGTCATTTTCTTAATGGGTGCATGCTTATTAGTAACTGGGATAAGCAATTTCATAAATGTGTCAAGTGCAGCGTCTGGTTGCTCGTCATTACACACCACCGACCAACAAATATTATTCACATCAACAACATAGGAATCACTACAAAACGTATTGTATGACCTCTTATACACAATGTTAGGCCCAGCCTTTGGAACTTTGGTTTTCCTAGAAATGGCTACTATATTGTGATCAATATAGAAGAGAAAGAAAAAACATTGGCATGTCCAATAAAGTGCTCTCTGATTGAATCAAGTTTGGGTGAACGACAATGTGCCACTGTTCAGTATTATTAGTCCGTGAACCTGCATCTGAGCAGGTTTGACAAACAATCAATTCAGTCTTAAACTTCTATGAGGTAAGGTTTCAGTGTGTGTGTTGTTAGTATGTGTGATCCTTTTTGAGTGTTTTACTGTGTGTGTGTGTGTACAGTGCCAGACATCTGCTTTCTCTGATAATGCTGGGTTTAAATAGCTATTAGATAAACCTATTACAGACTGTTTCTCTCTTTATCGCACACTGCCCAGGCCACTGCAGACTTATCAATCATACCCAATAATCATCTCTCTCTCTCTCTCTCTCTCTCTCCTCTCTCCTCCCTCGGCCCCTCCATCTCTCTCTCTTCCTCTCGTCTCTCTCCTCCTCTCTCTCTCTCCTCTCTCTTCTCTCTCTCTCTCCATCCCTCTATCCCATACTATCCCGTCCCTCATATACCTCTCTCCCTCCTCTTCCCTCACGCCCTCTGCTCTGGAACAAAGCTGGGGGCTCAGCAGTGTGTGAGTCACTGTTAAACAGCCATACTCTTTCACTCACAGCTGCTGGACATCACACACACACACGAATGCACACGTTGAACGTAAGCACACACAGACACAGTCACAGACACACACACCACACACACACACACTGTTTTAAATTAGCTACGCCATTGTGTGAATTGACCTGAAACATATACTTTTTTTATTATCTGATACTCATGAACACAGACAGGCTCTGTGTGACTTTAAGCATGACCAGGTCAGAGACATGGTTATACAGACTCACTCTCAATCTCTCTCTCTCTCTCTGCTCTCTCATTTTATATTTCACTCTCACACACATGCACGGATACACACACAATCAGTATCTCTGGCTCCCTTGTGGTGCATGTTTGAATGGTACACATGAGATTACAATATGTTTGCACACTCAAACTCCATATCGACCTTCATGAATAATCAACACATTCACAGAGCAAAGCAGCGAGAGAGAGAGGGAGAGAAAGGAAGAGAGAGAGGGATGGAGAGTGAGAGAGGGAGGGAGAAAGAGCAAGGGACAGATAGAGATAAAGAAAGAGAGAGCGTGAGAGAGAAAGGGAGATTTAGAGAGAGAGACAGTCAGAGGAAGAAAGAGAGAGGCAGACAGACAGTGTTGATAATTCACAACACTCTGTGCTGTCAGTGCATTCCATCTGCACACAGGTTCTCAGGGTAAACACTTGTGCATAGGGATCTTTTAGTTTTGTCTCTATTCTCTGACAAATGACTCATTACTCTTTCTGTTGTGGTGTTTGCTGTGTGATATCATGCTGTTGATAGATATATGGTGTATGGTTGTCCCTCTCTCTCTTTCACCACCCAAAAAAAAAAAAAACTTAGCATGAAATTATCGATATTGGTTGCATTAGGAACTAGTTGGAATTATATAGAGGGGTGCGGGGGAAAGGTAATACAAAAGACTGATAACCAATAAGGATGTTTGAGGTATTATTTCCTATTGTTAACAATACATTTAATTTCCTGACATGTGCAGTGTGTCCCCCTTTTCCCCTTTCTTTTTGTGAATGAGATTTGAGATTTTTTTTCGTATTGTTAATAATACAAGTATTTCCCCCTGTCTCTCTCTCTCTGCAGTGGAACTTGGTGTGTGATTCGGCCTGGAAGGTTCACATTGCTAAGTTCTCTTTCCTAGTGGGATCTATCTTTGGCTACCTGGTGATGGGCGTCATGGCCGACTGGTACGCTACCCTGCACAGTCCTCTTCCTCCATTTCACATCTGTGGCTGCATCCCAATTCTCCACACTTCTCCCAGTGTATGCACTTGCACACTCCCTGTCATGGATTCAAAAACATCAGATTGGTGTAAGCATTGGTTGGAGGGAGTTTTCAAAATGTTTACTATAGATCCATGACAGAGAGTTTGCAAGTGTACACTTCTGGAAAAGGATGGAGAATCTGAACCCAGACAGTGTGTGTTTCCCACTCTGTGTCTGTATCCCCTTCCCCCAGACATCCCAGAATAGAGCAACATCTTGTATTAAAACACCCACTGCGCTCCCTGTTGAGGTTGTCTGTGGGATGAGTTGTAGCTATAGCAACAGAGGCTGTAGAATACCGGTTCACAACTCTCTGACCCAATGACCTGCTGACCTCTGAACCAGGTTGTCGGAGAAAACAGGCTGGAGGGGATCGGAATGTTCTCTACCAGAAAAAGGAAAAGGTCTGCATCTAAATTTACCATTTCTCTCAAGTTATCTCAATACACTCTGGGGAGAGGGAGGGGGAGGAAGAGAGAGAGAGAGAGAGAGAGAGAGGAGCAGGTGATAAGTCAATGTCAATGTCCTTGTTCTCTCTAGATATGTAGAATCTCTTCTGTAGCAGAAGAGTAGAGAGAGCAGCGACGAGGTAGGGGAAAATGATGAGAGAGAGAGTAGAGAGAGGAGAGCGGCTGTACTCTCGAGAGGAGATAAGAGAGTTTATAGGATCTCTATCGGAGAGCCGAGCCGATCTTAGACATACGAGCTTCTTTCTCGCTCTCGATAGCCTATCTCTTTAGTCTGCTCTCTCTCTCTCTCTCTCTCTCTATCTCTCTCTCTCCTCTCTCTCTTCTCTCTCTCTCTCTCTCTCTCTCTACAGGTTCGGTCGTCACCCGGTTCTGATCGTCTCGGTCCTGTTCATGTTGGTGTTTGGTTTGAGCGTAGCATTCTCCTTCAACGTGACCATGTTCAGCACACTGCGTTTCTTTGAGGGTTTCTGTCTAGCTGGCCTCACTCTCTCCCTCTACGTACTGAGTAAGTATTGTACCTCCACTTCTTGGTATCTACTTCCTACTTCCTGCTCTAGACGTTCTGCTTCCTGTTTCCTACCTGTGTCAAATTGATAGATGTGCTTTGGTAAATTAGAGATTGCTTGGTCCCTTGTTCAAGACAGTCCTCGTAGACTGGGGGTGTTAATTAGTTTTAAACCTCAATGGTATATGAAGGTGGTCTTGGAAAGTATGGTTTTGAGGCTAAAATGTGATGAATATAGGATTTCTAGTTTAAATAGTTTTGTTGTGTACTATGCATGTAGTTTAATGAGAAAGAGTTCATGACTTTTTGTGTTTGTGAATGTGTAGCCTCACATTTGCAAAGTGGATGCTGTCTTTAGATGGGTGTTGTTTAGGTGTTTGTCTCAGAAGGCATCAAACAAAGGAATGTCTACAACCTCTGAGTCATGTTTTCTGTGTATGTTTGTGTGTGTGTGTGTGTGTGTGTGTGTTTGTGTGAGGTCATTGTTACCAGGCCGTACTAGAAGGGAGGCTGACAAAGCAGTTTTTTCCCCATCATGACTTCTGCTAAAAACTTTATCTTGGCATTTATTTTTTTCACCTGATCAGGTTCTTTCTCTAATATCAGCATTTCTTAACCTGTTAAACTCTGAGCAGTTGTTTTGGGCCCTATACAGGGCCCAGCAAGAAAATAGCAAGTTACATATAATTTGAAAGTTACAACCCTTGTGTTTTTGGAAATTGAATTCAAATCTTAGTGCTGGCAACTTCTCTTGGCCACTTGGTTTCAAGTGGCCAAGAGACATCAAGTGATCTCCTACTGATATCTAGGTGGACAAATTGGTAATTGGACAGGGGATATATTTACATCAAGTAGAAACTTCAGCTTTCTCCTCATATCTATATAATTTCTGTAAGACAAAAAAATGAAGGCATGTACGTTACAAAAGGTAAAAGATCTGACAAAATGTTTTCTTTATACATTTTGTTATCCTTTTGGAACAGTAATTGGTGGCACATGGGGATGGATTTATTTTTTACATTTCAGGTTTTTTTGGGCCTGCTGTATCTCAGACTCTATAGTAGTGACATTGTTTCTGACACCTTTATCAGAGTCCCACAGTTCTTACCATTCTAACATGTAAAGTGTTGGTTCCATATTTCATGAGCTGAAATAAAAGATCCCAGACATTTTCCATACATACACATTTGTTTACATCCCTGTTAGTGAGCATTTCTCCTTTGCCAAGATAATCCATCCACCTGACAGGTGTGGCATATCAATAAGCTGATTAAACAGCATGATCATTACACAGGTGCACCTTGTGCTGGGGACAATAAAAGGCCACTCTAAAGTGTGCAGTTTTGTCACACAATACAATGCCACAGATGTTCTGATCCACGCCCTTAACAAAAAAAAAAAAAAAAAATACAGGTATCTGTGACCAACAGATGCATATCTGTATTCCCAGTCATGTGAAATCCATAGATTAGGGCCTATTTAATTTATTTCAATTGACTGATTTCATTATATGAACTGTAAAATCTTTGAAATTGTTGTATGTTGCGTTTATATTTTTGTTCAGTGTAGTTTTGAAACCGAAATGTACTTCATGAGGGGATTATACAATATTATGCTTGTTTAGAAAATGCCTACAGAAGTCAATTCATATTCAATAATCTTGGAAAAGACCAGCTGATCTTGCTGTCTGTCTGTCACACACACCACACACACACACACACACACACACACACGTATTATATTTAGAGGACAGATGTTAACAACACCTTTTCACATGTAAGAAAACTCCACGTGTAAATCTCACTTTCACATGTAGAATTGCAAGTTCACATGTGAAAATCACATTTGCAGTTTCAGAAAAAGAAAAATCTATGTTCATATGTGGGGGGGGGGGGGGGGGGGGGGTTAATAGTGTTATACCCCTCTCATGTGAAAAGGTGGTGTTAAAGTGTTTGTCAGATGAACCGATGTGGATGTGGTGGAGGAGTCAGGCGCAGGACACAGAGGCTTCGTCCAACAGACTTTACTAGTCAAAAGTGCAAAATACAATACACGGCCTCGAAACAAACAGAGGCGAGTGAATACGTAAACCATGCGTAAACACTAAACAAACAAACAGAGCGTCAACACGCAGCTCCGAAATACAGGCAGACAACAACACACAATCTAACCAATACAAAACAGGGAATTTATAGGACACGTAATCAGAACACAAACAGACACAGGTGTACAAGACAGACCAAAGCAATCACACCACGAAACATTCAACGGTGGCAGGTAGTACTCTGGGGACGGCGAACGCCGAAGCCTGCCCGAACCAGGAGGAGGAGCAGTCTCGGCCGAAACCGTGACAGTACCCCCCCCTTGACGCGCGGCTCCAGCCGTGCGCCGACCCCGGCCTCGGGGACGGCCAGGAGGACGCGGACCCGGGCGCGTGGGATGCCCACGGTGGAACTCAGTCAGTAGGGATGAATCTAGGATGTCCCTCCTAGGCACCCAGCACCGTTCCTCCGGACCGTACCCCTCCCACTCCACGAGATACTGGAGACCACTCATCCGGCGCCTCGAGTCCAAGATGGTCCGGACCCTGTACGCCGGGGCCCCCTCGATGTCCAAAGGGGGCGGAGGGGTCTCTCCTATCTCATCTTCTTGGAGTGGGCCAGCTACCACCGGCCTGAGAAGAGACACATGGAACGAGGGGTTAATATTATTGTACTCAATAGGCAGTTGTAACCTGTAACACACCTCGTTCAATCTTCTCAGGACTTTAAAGGGCCCCACAAACCGCCGACCCAGCTTCCGGCAGGGCAGGCGGAGGGGCAGGTTTCGAGTCGAGAGCCAGACTCGATCTCCCGGTGCGTACACCGGTCCCTCACTGCGGTGGCGATCGGCGCTCGCCTTTTGTTGACGGATGGCCCGCTGCAGATGGACATGGGCAGCGTCCCACGTCTCCTCCGAGCGCCGAATCCACTCGTCCACCGCAGGGGCCTCGATCTGGCTCTCGTGCCACGGTGCCAGGACCGGCTGATACCCTAAAACACACTGGAAAGGTGTTAAATTGGTGGAGGAGTGGCGGAGAGAGTTCTGGGCCATCTCTGCCCAGGGGATATACCTAGACCACTCCTCCGGCCGGTCCCGGCAATAGGACCTCAGAAACCTACCCACATCCTGGTTGACTCGTTCAACCTGCCCATTGCTCTCTGGGTGGTACCCCGAGGTAAGGCTCACGAGACCCCCAAGCGTTCCATGAACGCCCCCCAGACTCTGGAGGTGAACTGGGGACCTCGGTCAGACACAATATCCTCGGGGACCCCATAGTGCCGGAACACGTGGGTAAATAGGGCCTCGGCGGTCTGTAGGGCAGTAGGGAGACCCGGCATTGGGAGGAGACGACAGGCCTTGGAGAACCGATTCCCAACGACCAAAATGGTGGTATTCCCCTGGGAAGGGGGTAGGTCGGTTACAAAATCCACCGAGAGGTGGGACCATGGTCGTTGTGGAACGGGCAGGGGATGTAACTTACCCCTGGGCAAATGTCTAGGCGCCTTACACTGGGCGCACACCGAGCAGGAGGAGACATAAACCCTCACATCCTTAGCTAACGTTGGCCACCAGTATTTCACGCTAAGGTTCGATCACGAACCTCGAGCGGAACGTACGTCCGCCCCACAGGACACTCGGGGGGAGTAGGGTCGGTACGCAGTGCCCGCTCGATTTCCGCATCGACCTCCCATACCACCGGAGCCACCAGACAAGACTCCGGCAGTATGGAAGTAGGCTCAATGGCCCTCTCCTCTGTGTCATACCGCCGGGACAGGGCGTCTGCCTTACCGTTCTGGGACCCTGGGATGTATGTGATCTTAAAAACAAACCGGGTCAGGAACATGTTCCACCTAGCCTGACGAGGGTTCAATCTCCTAGCTGCCCGGATGTACTCCAGGTTACGGTGATCAGTCAGAATGAGGAAAGGGTGTTGAGCCCCCTCAAGCCAATGCCTCCACACCTTTAGGGCCTGGACTACAGCTAACAGCTCCCTGTCCCCAACGTCATAATTGCGCTCCGCCGAGCTGAGCTTCTTGGAGTAGAACGCACAGGGGCGGAGCTTAGGTGGCGTGCCGGACCGTTGTGACAGGACTGCCCCAATACCGGTCTCGGACGCGTCTACCTCTACTTGGAATGGTAAAGAGGGATCCGGATGCGCCAGCACCGGGGCCGAGGTGAACAGGTTCTTCAGTTTGACAAATGCCCTGTCCGCCTCAGCTGACCACTGCAAACGAACCGGACCCCCCTTTAGCAGGGACGTAATGGGAGCTGCAACCTGTCCAAAGCCCCGGATAAACCTCCGGTAGTAATTAGCAAAACCCAAGAACTGCTGCACCTCTTTTACAGTGGTTGGAGTTTGCCAATTACGCACGGCCGACACACGGTCTACCTCTATCTCCACACCAGACGCGGACAACCGATAACCCAAAAAGGAGACGGACTCCTGGAAGAACAGTCATTTCTCTGCCTTGACATACAAGTCATGCTCCAACAGTCTTCTCAACACTCGGCGCACCAGGGCTACATGCTCGGCTCGTGTAGAAGAGTACACTAGGATGTCGTCGATGTACACTACCACACCCTGCCCATGCATGTCCCGGAAAATCTCGTCAACAAAGGATTGGAAGACTGAAGGAGCATTCATTAACCCGTATGGCATGACGAGATACTCGTAATGAACCGAGGTGGTGCTAAATGCCGTTTTCCATTCATCCCCCTCCCTAATGCGCACCAGATTGTACGCGCTCCTGAGATCCAACTTTGTGAAGAACTGCGCTCCGCGTAATGATTCCGTCATAGTCGCAATCAGTGGAAGAGGGTAACTGTACTTAACCGTGATCTGATTGAGACTACGGTAATCAATACACGGGCGCAAACCCCCGTCCTTCTTCTTCACAAAGAAGAAACTCGAGGAAACCGGGGAAGTGGAGGACCGTATGTAACCCTGTGCCAAGGA